AAGAGAAATTAACCACAAAAAACGGTGGCCTCTCAGTGGAGATCGTTGGCAAAAATTCTAAAAAGAAAAAACGATCCAGTACAGGAGCAAAAGGTATTGTGCGTCAAAGCAAATAATGTTTAGTAAACGTAGTGAGAATATTCTTCATTTTACCCTTTTGAAACAGATTTCTTTATAAATAAACAGTGTATAAAGAATATTTAATTCTGTAGAATTTGAAAGGTATTATATCAACAGCCTTTCAAATATATTACTGTCATTTTAGTACTTAAAATCTTACACAATTTGTATTCTTGTAGTTGCTCGAAAAGATTCTATGACCATGATGACCGACTTTGTGGACGACGTTGATATAGCTGATGAAACGTACATCTGACAGTCGTAACTGTACCATGATATACTTGACAGAAATATGTTATTGCGATTCGCCAAGGCAGTTTTGTGATAAAATTACTAAATTATATTTACATGGATCTCAATATGTTGTATTTAATTGGATTTTATATTGTTAATTTTGATTTTATAGTTCTGCACTTTAAAATGTTTTAGAATTCAGAATCGATGGTATATCAATTTTTTTAATAGAATTTTTATTTTATTTGGTCATAATACTAAATAACTGAATAGCTAAATTCATACTGTGTTTATGCTACTCATAGCTACACCGCTGTATGAAGGGGTTTTTATGCTTAGGTATGGTGTTATTTTAGAGAGGATGTCACGAATGTTATAATAAAAACTGCGTTCACCGTGTTATAGAAGGAGCGGAGCTATACGTACCCAATCAATTCAAGCTAACACCCGGTGATCAGTTGTTTGTTTTTTTTTAATTCTTTTTTTCTTTTCTTTTCTTTTATTTTTACATAAATTCCTAGTAAGTTGCAACTATGATCCCACCACAAAACACACACAGCAACAAAACCTCACGGATACAAAGAAAAAAATATTTATTAATTTTTTTTTCAAATCAGAACCGCATTGCAAATGCAGAAAGAAGCACTTAGACAAATCGTTCATCGGCCTGATCCTTAGTATTTAGTACAGTTAGTGTCGTTCTTTTCTGCTGTGGTGTTTCGTAATTATGATTAAACCCAAATTCCTGTAGGCAGATTTACATTAAGCAGGACTAGATATAAATGCTTCAAGCGGGCCTTCAAATGCTTTATTAAACGTCACCATTAGGGAAAATTTAAAACATTACATCATTGCTTTATTAGAAAGAGGTTATACATGTATACATTTATGCATATAGTTTGTTTCGACAAACAACTGAAACAGTTTGAGTTTTAAAGTATATTATGCAATATAAAAACATATGTACAAACATATCACAGATTATATACAACTGACAATTAAAACAAATATACTTGGCGAAGGGGAAAACCCAGCTATGCAAGATACACAGAGGCATCAGAACCATGTCGCAGACTAGAGGTCCACCTGAAACAAAACAGGGAGGTGTGCTATACTACCAAGTGGTAGTATGCTGTATGTTCTGATGAAGGGCTCAACAACTCGGTTTGTGGTGTTTGAGGTGTCAAACAGTGCTGCGGTAACCGGAAGTTGAGCTGAGAAATAGGTCTGGTCATGTCGGTGGAGAGCCAGCTGGCATGCTCCTGGACTCGTGAAGTATGAGGAGTTTGAGGTGTCAAACTGATATACTCGGGAGCCTCGTGTTCACATTAGCTTAGCAAAGCAAATGACCTGCCCGCTGGAACAGTATGGAGTCTGTTTCCTGAAATTTTGGGGTAAAATTTTTTGGCATGTTGAGGTACAACATGTAAAAATACCCAAATACGAATAAGAAAAACTTGCCTAAGGCATATCTGCATCTTGCATGCTAGGTATTCCTAAAGAGAATTGGTTACAAGAATAACGGTGAGGGGGGGGGGGGGGGGAGGCGGATAACATGTACACAGATCAAATGACGCTAAAACAATAGATGACAATTTATATTGACCAATCAAGAGACAGAAACTATGATTAAAACTTGGACTGTGGAATCGTAGATTCCGGAGGTTGATTGCCGACACAAACTTTGTTTATGCAAGCATAAACATTAACATATATCAAGATTCAAGCCAGTGAAACTTAGAAAGTAAAAGATGGAAATTAAAGGACGTGGCATTGGATAGAAAACAAAACATAGTACACCTTTTGGTAATTTCGGTCAGTTGGAGAATTCATAAGTTAACAACAGGTCTATTTACAGAACAGTATCAAGCAAAGCTTAAAATCTCCACATGAATATAAGAGAAATCTGTACTTTAAAATAATCTTTAAAAAAATGTATGTCAAAATCTGAGAAAATTGAAAAGGTTATAAACCCTGCAATTTTTAGAGAAACGAAATTACATTCTTTTGAGCAATCTGGAATCCTTATTTCTGATACTGATTAGGCTATTTGGCAAAATGAAATGGACAATTATCCGCGTAACGAAAAAAGAAGAAAGTGTCTCAAGTAAAAAATAAGTCTATCGATCAGTTAATATTGAAAATGAAAACGTCAATGACATACTACCTCTTCATTGGTGAAAATGTTGTCAAAGATGGCAAGACGACTATGAAGCAGACAAATATAAGCTGTCAAGAAACCCCTACCCTAAAAAAAATAATAAAAAGAAATTAGAATGTTGCCACACGAAGATAGACAAAGCAACTGATCAGCAATCCAGAACCATGAGAAAAGTAAAGGCGAAGGATAAAGTAAGACAGAAAAAAAGAAAGTAAACAGAAAACCCAAAACTTTAGCAACTACAGAAGTTTAGGTCAATGTAGTTGCTGTATGCAAAAATTGGTTGGAATAAGTAAAATCGATTCCAGAGAAAAAGCTGAAAATGTTCAAATGTTAACTTACAAGGCACGATGAACGACGACGGACAAAAACAGATGTTAGTAACTCAGGTGACCGCAAGACACACAAAATGTCGTAGTTCTAAAATTGTAAAATTTCTCAACCGAATGCAAACAATAACATTTTTTGTTCTTTGTCTGCCTCATTCTTTAATAGGGCACATCTTTATTTGCAGAATCAAGTATACATGTCAAATTACTTAGCTGAATTGACTTTTTTAGCCACAGAAACATATTTATAAACAGTAGTATGAAAACATTGTCCTCTTGTATTGGAAAGTGATAACCTCTACATATTGATGTTAGTGAACAACTTCGTTTCAAAAAGTTGCATATTATAAAGAAAAGGAAACGATTGAAATGTTCACTCACTCTATACGTCACCATATACCGGTGAAGGGCTTCTAATTTAGACCTTCACTCGGCACTCCGGGTCATTGAGCAGTGAGGGTTCTTTATCGTGCCAACGCTTACCGTGACACGGGGCCTCGGTTTTTAATGTCTCATCCCAAGGACCCGCAACTTTCACTTCAAAGTGCCAAGCGCTTGGCGAAGGAACAGTTGCTACCTATTTTGTATCGACTTAGGTCGATAATTCCATTCTTATAAAACATGCCACCATGTATAAGCGCTCAGTTGCTGGTGATCAATAGTATAAAGGTTTTCTGTGTCTTAGTATTTTGATTTACTAATTCTTCTTGATAAACTAGCACATTCAATATTTAATGACATTTTGTTAATCGTAGACAACAAACGGAGCGGAGCGTCAATTTACTTCCTATTCCAGTAAACTTTGTTTTGTTGTTGCTATGCTAGAAACACGTGATTTTTCAAATCTAATTTTGATTTTTAAAATAAATTGATTTGCATCGCGGAGGTCTAATGTAAGCCTTACAAACAAGATGGCGACATCACAGACCCAAACAGCTACCAAAGGGAAAAGGGAAGTATGTAAAGTTTTTAAACTTTTTTCCTCCAAATTTAAAAATACTTTAAACGACAATTTTTTTTAATTTTGCTACATTTAAATCAAGATCATATTAGCAAAGATTCGAGAAAAATATATTTAAAAAAATTATCATATTTTGATTATAAAATAATATATTCATCTTAGTCAAACAAAAAAAAAATGCGAGAAGGGAGAGAGAAGGGTGAAATTATATTAAAAAAAAAAAACAACAGCAAAATGAATCCATTTATGTAAAATTCTCGTATATTCATTTTATATTAAAAAAAAAACACAATATGCTTGTCCTACTGCAACGCAGTTTTTCTTTGTCAAAATAATTTGCTTATAATGTTATATTTTTTTACAATCAAATACAGAATAAGACTTTTTCCGCAATTTATCAAAATGTTCATCAGTTAGGCAATCTTTAAATCGGGTACGAATCACACGTGTTTACTCGATCTGAGTTGAAAAAGATGTTTTCTGGGAAAAAAATAAAAATTTTGAATGCTGAACCACCTGCTAAATATTTGTATATATATATATATATATATATATATATATATATATATATATATATATATATATATATATATATATATATATATATATATATATATATATGAAATATGTGGAAATAACGAACAGTATTCGGGTTCAAAAGTCCATTAAACATTACAAAATAAGATCAGAGCAAACACGGACCTCTAAGTAAGACATCGGAGGTGGGATCAGGTGCCATGGAGGAGTGAGCATCCCCTGCCGACCGGTCATACCCGCCGTGTGCTCCTTGTCATGATCGGGAAATAACGGAAAAATCCGTTGACAATTCAGTGACCTAACAATTAGTATGAAAAAACCAGTCAGCATTTGATTTAATGATAGATTGTATTTGCTGACAAGGTCATTGTATCGACCATAGAATTTACGAAATGATGACTTTAAACGAGACTGCTGATATATATATATATATATAGAGAGAGAGAGAGAGAGAGAGAGAGAGAGAGAGAGAGAGAGAGAGAGAGAGAGAGATTTGTTTGTAATGAAAAAATGTCTTTATGATTTTTTTAATGCCTTTGATTAATCCAGCCAGCATTTTGAGACAGTGAATAATCAAAATGGAATGACTGTTGCTAATTATGCTGCCGCTTTCGAAAACACGTCTTGTGCATATATTTAAATATTGCAGAGTTTGGAAATGGAGCTCAAAGGAAAAGGTTATTCTAAAGGTTATTCTTCGGGATCAGCCACTCCTCTTTCTAGTGAATCAGAGGAAGACACGGAGAAAACCAATGATAATCAAAAAATGGAAGACATCATATTTGCGCTACGTACTAAAATACGATTAGATGCTCAAAAATTTCAAGAAGAAAATGAACAAATTCGTCATGAGGCAAGCCGAAAAATAAAAGAGTTGAAAGAATCTTTACAAGATAGGGAGGATGAAATAACAGAAATCCAGAAAAAACACAAAAGAGAAATTCGCGAAAAAATCAAGCAAATTGAAGAGCTCGAAAATAACATTAAAAAAGCCGAAGAAGGTATATCTGTTCTTCAGGAAACCAACAAAGAACTTTTGAAGAATAAAACTGAACAATCTGAGGAAAGGAAAAAAGGAATGACGGAGGTGGCAAAGCTTAAGAAAGAGTTGAGTGATGTTTATCAAAGCCTTGAACAAATGAAGAAAGAAATGAATGACATGCAGAGCTCAGCAGAAATATCAAAAAATGACCTGGAGGAATCTAAACTAAAGGAAAGAACCAGTGATAGCAGAATGGAAATGTTGGAAGCTGATTTATTGAAAGCAAATTCTGAAATCAACAGACTGATTCAGTCACATTCTAAAGAAATACAAAAAGTTCGTGAACAATATAAGAAAATAAAGTCACAAAATGATGGTCTCAAAAGCGACATGAGCCAGCTACTGGCAGAAATGAAAGAAATGCGCAAAGAAGTGAAAGAAGTCAAGGAATTTAAGATGCCACAGGGAAATAAAAAGTGACAATGAATATAATACATAAATAAACGTATATAAAACCATTCACTGAATATACAGAATCTTAATTCTAAAGAACTTCTAAAGTTATCGTCATATCAAGAAAAGACTATAATAAAGCCTTTAAAAGATGTCATTGAAACTAATTCAGTGCATTTTGAATTATCTTATGGGCATGCAAAGAGAGGGTAACTGAGGTGCAATTGCATTTAATCGCTGTTTCAGAGACGATTATGTAACATCGGCCTAATTGTTAGGGCCTCGCATGAAATGCGGAAGCCCTATTGGAATCACATGGTCTGTCCCTGTAACTGTCTGTCCGTCAACACTTTCGTTGTGAAACGATAACTCAACCAGTTTTCAACGAAATGTTTTCAATTTTTTAAGAGCAAGACAACTACAGAATTTTAGGTCAAATTACTTTTTCTGTTTGTACAATTTTGTTTTTTTAAAATTTTGTACTGAAGCAATATCTCACAGTTTTCCACTATAATTTTTTTTTCAAGATATGTACAGAACTATAAGAGCAAGACACCTATATACCAAGATCAATTTGCCTGTCTGTCTGTATGTATATCTGTCGACAGGTTTTGTTATGACGCAATAACTCGAATGGTTTTCAACGTTACATTTTGAAATTTTGTATAGAAGTACTTTACTATAAGAGAAAGATACTAAACATTCCAGGCTCATATTACTTTGTCTGTCTGTTTGTATGTCTGAGTGTCATCAGGACTCAGTAACTCAAAATAGTTTTTGTAATAACCATTTTAAAGAACAAGGTACAGTTTCAATACAAATCTTGCCCTGTGTTTTTCTTAAAAATGAAAGTGATGTAATAAAAAAATTAAAACTCATGCTTTCTGAATCATTTAACTTACATACAGAAAGATCATACAAATCATTTTTCTCACATGACCTTCTAAATGCTAATTGTGACGTCATAAACTTGTGCATTTTCCCGTATTTTCTTAAAAGTTGCAGAAGACACCAATTTTCAATGGAATTTTCTTTCAGATAATATTGTCTATCGCCCACAAAGATTTTGAGATATGTGATTTTTCAAAGAATTTTACACAACATATCCGAAAATTAAAGTAGGCGATGGCTGTGGACATTATTTTCTTAAGGAAAATAACCCTTGAAATGGGTCGTTTTGAGGCATTTTCTGTTTGAAATAGAGAAATGCATCAAATTTCCAGAATGGTACTCCTTCATGCCATATTGTTTCTTGATTTTTCACAGTCATATACTCAACTAATATTTAAGCCAGTTTCAAAACTTTTTAAAAACATTAAAGTTTTAGGACACAATAAAGCTAAAACTGTACTTTCTTCTTTACACAGAAAATATATAAGTGGAACATGCCTGTAAATTTTGAGGTCCGTCTGTCCATCAAGACTTTTATTGTGGTGCTATAACGTAGACAATTTTCAACCTATCATATTTTCAAATTTTGTACACAGACTTTGTTTGAGGAAAGGCTCAGTTGGCGCGTTTACCTTATTTATTCCTGAAAGTGTGCACGATGTAAAATACAAAATCAATACAAAAATGAAACATACAACTACGGTTGGCACTAATTGACGATACAGAGAGCAATACAAATTGTAGGATATTACATCTCTCCCTTCTCTGGTTTTGAAATTTTATCAATCGAACATTTAAAATTATTTAAACAAACTTTTGATAAAATATTAATAAAATGTCTGACTAGAATTTCCTTTTAAATTTTCATTAATATATGATTGTATAATAGTAGTTCTTATGAATGTTCATCGATACACATAAATAAATATGTCCCAGGTACAAAATAAAACACTTAATACATGACATATTGCTGGGCAAACAAGAACAAAAACAATGAACACTGCAGATAATTATAATACCACTCACTGATTGATCACAAACACACGCGTCCCATAATCTTCTTAGTATGGCTGCTTGCGTTGTCTTGTAGGGCGCAGTGTTTGACCCTGAAGAGTTGTAAAGTCCTTCCTCTGTGTCGGGATGTCTATCTCTTTTTAATCAAGTGTTTCTGCTGTTTCCTGTCCATACCTCGTTTTCTTGAAGAAGAATGTACTGGTATAACATTCCTATCTCCCTGCTTTTTGGTTATCATACTTCCTATTTTCCTAATCACAATGTGAGGGACCGGATCGTACGATGATGTGATCTTAGAATCCTTAAACTCGTTTATTAGAAGTACATGAGCTCCATTCTGAACGTTATTTTCTCTTGTTTTTTATCCTTTCTTAGCACTGAATTTCATCGATGTTTTTGAGATTTCATCAATTTGATTTACAAGTCCAGCATTCCTGGTTTCTTTCCTTGAGATAGACGTAAACTCTGTCTTTACTTCTCTGTTAAATAGTATTTCAATTCTGCTAAGTTGTTCTGTATTATCTGAGAAATTGGAACATGGACTGTTTCCTGTTTCTTCTCTCTATTCCAGCTGCTTGATGTTTTTCATCAATGGTTTGTTAAATGCCTCTGCTTGAGCATTTGCTCGAAGCCTTCTCTGACTACTTTTTCTTTGAGTGAATCCTATATTCACAGCCAGAAACACGTTAAGTTCCTTTAAGTACCGTTGTCATACCAACACAGGTGGGGCTTAGATGATGTTCGTCCAGTGTTCGTCCAGTGTCATAACTAGAAAACTAATACAGTAAAACTCTGTAATTCGGATGTTGTGTATTTTTTAAATCTTGCCCAATTCGATATTTAGTTTAAGTCCATTTCATTAAATTCAATTGATTAAAATGTTGTCTAATCTGGAATGTTGTCAAATCTGGCCAATTTCTATGGAACCAGTCGACAAGTTTCACTGTATTAGATTTATTTCAGTTTTCGAGTTAATTGACTACAATTTCTCAAATCTCAATAGGGAACAGAACTGAAATTATGTTTTGATGCTGCATGAACCATATCCGATATTAATAGGTTACTAGTATATTATAGTATTTTGCGTTGGCGATACATCACCCTGCTTAAATAGATTTTGGTTTTGTTAATTTATCTTTGAAATGAATATATATTTTTCTTTTATATCATAAGCAATAACCAACACTAGGTGCAGATAATATTGTGAAGTATTGTAAGCCTCTGAAATAAAAATCAAAGCAAAAGGAAAACTGAAAATGTTGCTTTAATTCAAATTATGTCCGTTGTCTTTAATTAAGTTACAAAAACTCAGTCCATTGTCATCGGTCCGTTGTCAGAATTGTACTGTATACACCCTAGATATAAATGAACGATCTGCTACTGTTTAATGCATTTTATTTATCAAAAATACCACCAAAATAGAGGGAAAAATTGAAAGAGAGGGAAACCGATCAATCGAAACTAAAGATATGATGTCATTTATACATTTCATATCGTCATGTCATTCTCTAATGTGACTAAACTTAAAAGTGATTCATTATTCTGTGATTCATTAAATGTCAAAACTGTAATAATGCATACATTATATATTCCCAAACCATTTTCCCGAGTAAATGAGATCAGCGAGAATGATATTCTAAAACATGATGTAAATAGAAAGATCTCATTGTTATATAATTTTTAAAGGCCACATTTTTATGATCTGGTATGTATTATTAAGAAGTTATTTAATTTACAGATTACTTTGTATTGACATGAGTCTGTATGTGTGAACTACATGCAATAACAAACTTACTCTCACTGAATGGTATATAATAATTTTATGACTGTTAAATAATTTATCATACTATTTATGTACATTATAATAATAATAATTATTGTAAAGTTTTTATGACGAGAATTGATTGTTCCTTAATTTTGGAGAAATTTATATCTTATTTGTATAAGGAATTATGTCCCTTGACAATCATCATTGTGTGCTATGTTTATGCTTAATATTATGCTTAATGTTTACAGGAGTTACATTGTTAATATTGCAGGGTTCTGACTGATTGATAGTAATAATCAGGCAATAAAGTCTCGTGTAGAACCCTAAACAGGTTGTGTTGTGTTTCATCACCGAAACTTGTTTCTCAAGTGGTAATCCAACTTTTACTCATAGTTCCCTTTCTAAGGAGGAAATTCTTCAAAAAAAAAAAATGTCAGTTTTTAATATTCCTAACAATCAAATTGAAATTGAATTACCATACCTATAGTGGATTCCTAAGCTACATAAAAATCCTTACAAACAAAGATACGTAACAGGTTCCATTAAATATTCTACCAAGCCTCTTCTTTTACTCCTCACTGAACATTAACAGCAGTGAAGGAGAAAATTTAGGAGTATTGTACAACAGTTTATTCGAAATGTGGTGTAAATCAGATGTGAATACTTTAAAAATTCCAAGAAACTTTTTAAATTTTTTTTTTTAAAAATCACAAAATTTTACAATAACATTAAAACATACGACTTTTCAATGCTTTATACAATCATCTCCCATGATAAATTAAAGTCCAGACTTTCTTACATCAAAGACAGCTGCTTTTTCAATAAAAATGGAACTTGTAAATATACACACCGTGTCATTGGTCATTTGCAAAATTAGTTTGTTAAAAAACATTCTGATTGTACACACAAGTACTCCGAAGTTGATATTAAAAAGATGCTTGAGTTACTGATTGACAATATCTTTGTAGTTTTGGAGTTCAAGTCTTCCCATAATCTGATGGAATTCCCCTTGGTTCTAATTGCTCCCCGTTATTAGCAGACCTATGTTTTTATTCATATGAAGCAGAATTTGCTCAAAAACTTCTATGTGAAAATATCAAGTCTCTTGCTGTGGCCTTCAATTCAACATTTAGATATATCGAAAACTTTATAATATTCATTTTCATTTCTACGTTGATTTGATATATCCCTTTGAACTCGAAATAACTCGAACCTTTATCGCCTGCATATGGAATGCATGTTCTACCTACTGACGATTTCTCAAACAAAACAAGCTATTGACATTTAAGTTGATGATTCAAGGATATCAAGAATACCGTTTTAATTCAATATTTGGCAAATTCTATGGTCGATACAATGA